AGCTCCTCCCCACCATAATACACCTTCCTCTATCTTCCGGGATCAAAGCTCCTCCCCCCCATAATACACTTTCCCTCTAACTTCCTGGATCAAGAGCTCCTCCTCACCATAATACACCTTCCCTCTAACTTCCTGGATCAAGAGCTCCTCCCCACCATAATACACCTTCCCTCAAACTCCGGATCAAGAGCTCCTCCCCACCATAATAAAACCTTCCCTCTATCTTCCTGGATCAAGACTCCTCCCCACCATAATACACCTTCCCTCTATTTTCCGGGATCAAGAGCTCCCCCCACCTAATACCCCTTCCCTCTAACTTCCTGGATCAAGAGCTCCTCCCCCCCCATAATACACCTTCCCTCTAACTTCCTGGATCAAGAGCTCCTCCCACCATAATACACCTTCCCTCTATTTTCCCTGGATCAAGAGCTCCTCCCCACCAAAAATTACACCTTCCCTCTATCTTCCTGGATCAAGAGCTCCTCCCCACCATAATACACCTTCCCTCTAACTTCCTGGATCAAGAGCTCCTCCCCACCATGATACACCTTCCCTCTAACTTCCTGGACCAAGAGCTCCTCCCCACCATAATACCCCTTTCCCCTCTACCCTTCCTGGATCAAGGGCTCCTCCCCACCACAATACACCTTCCCTCTAACTTCCTGGATCAAGAGCTCCTCCCCACCATAATACACCTTACCTCTATCTTCCTGGATCAAGAGCTCCTCCCGAGCATAATACACTTTCCCTCTAACTTCCTGGATCAAGAGCTCCTCCCCACCATAATACACCTTCCCTCTTTCTTCCTGGATCAAGAGCTCCTCCCCACCATAATACACCTTCCCTCTATCTTCCTGGATCAAGAGCTCCTCCCCAGCATAATACACTTTCCCCCCAAACTTCCTGGATCAAGAGCTCCTCCCCACCATAATACACCTTCCCTCTAACTTCCTGGATCAAGAGCTCCTCCCCACCATAATACACTTTCCCTCTAACTTCCTGGATCAAGAGCTCCTCCCCACGATAATACACCTTCCCTCTAACTTCCTGGATCAAGAGCTCCTCCCCACCATAATACACCTTCCCTCTAACTTCCTGGATAAAGGGTTTCCCCCCACCATAATACACCTTCCCTCTATCTTCCTGGATCAAGAGCCCTCCCCACCATAATACACCTTTCCCTCTATCTTCCGGGATCAAAGCTCCTCCCCACCATAAAAAACCCCCTCCCTCTATCTTCCTGGATCAAGAGTTCCTCCCCACCATAATACACCTTCCCTCTATTTTCCTGGAATCAAGACCCTCCTCCCCACCATAATACATTTCCCTCTAACTTTCCTGATCAAGAGCCCTCCCCCACCATAATACACTTTCCCTCTAACTTCCTGGATCAAGAGCTCCTCCCCACCATAATACACCTTCCCTCTAACTTCCTGGATCAAGAGCTCCTCCCCACCATAATACACTTTCCCTCTAAGTTCCTGGATCAAGAGCTCCTCTTCACCATAATACACCTTTCCTCTAACTTCCTGGATCAAGAGCTCCTCCCCACCATAATACACCTTCCCTCTATCTTCCTGGATCAAGAGCTCCTCCCCACCATAATACACTTTCTCTCTAACTTCCTGGATCAAGAGCTCTTCCCCACCATAATACACTTTCCCTCTAACTTCCTGGATCAAGAGCTCCTCTCAGCATAATACACCTTCCCTCAAACTTCCTGGATCAAGAGCTCCTCCCACCATAATACACGTTCCCTCTAACTTCCTGGATCAAGAGCTCGTCCCCACCATAATACACCTTCCCTCTATCTTCCTGGATCAAGAGCTCCTCCCCACCATAATACACCTTCCCTCTATCTTCCTGGATCAAGAGCTCCTCCCCAGCATAATACACTTTCCCTCTAACTTCCTGGATCAAGAGCTCCTCCCCACCATAATACACCTTCCCTCTATCTTCCTGGATCAAGAGCTCCTCCCACCATAATACACCTTCCCTCTATCTTCCTGGATCAAGAGCTCCTCCCCAGCATAATACACTTTCCCTCTAACTTCCTGGATCAAGAGCTCCTCCTCACCATAATACACCTTCCCTCTAACTTCCTGGATCAAGAGCTCCTCCCCACCATAATACACCTTCCCTCTAACTTCCTGGATCAAGAGCTCCTCCCCACCATAATACACCTTCCCTCTATCTTCCTGGATCAAGAGCTCCTCCCCACCATAATACACCTTCCCTCTATCTTCCTGGATCAAGAGCTCCTCCCCACCATAATACACCTTCCCTCTAACTTCCTGGATCAGAGCTCCTCCCCCCATAATAACCCCTTTCCTCTAACTCCTGGATAAAGAGCTCCCCCCCACCATAAACACCTTCCCTCATCTTCCTGGATCAAGAGCTCCTCCCACCATAATACACCTTCCCTCTATCTTCCTGGATCAAGAGCTCCTCCCCACCATAATACACCTTCCCTCTAACTTCCTGGATCAAGAGCTCCTCCCCACCATGATACACCTTCCCTCTAACTTCCTGGATCAAGAGCTCCTCCCCACCATAATACACTTTCCCTCTAACTTCCTGGATCAAGAGCTCCTCCCCACCATAATACACCTTCCCTCTATCTTCCTGGATCAAGAGCTCCTCCCCACCATAATAAAACCTTACCTCTATTTTCCCTTTGGATCAAGAGCTCCTCCCCACCATAATACACCTTCCCTCTAACTTCCTGGACCAAGAGCTCCTCCCCACCATAATACACCTTCCCTCTATCTTCCTGGATCAAGAGCTCCTCCCCACCATAATACACTTTCCTCTAACTTCCCGGGATCAAGAGCTCCTCCCCACCATAATACCCCTTCCCTCTATCTTCCGGGGATCAAGAGCTCCTCCCCACCATAATACACCTTCCCTCTAACTTCCTGGATCAAGAGCTCCTCCCCACCATAATACACCTTCCCTCTAACTTCCTGGATCAAGAGCTCCTCCCCACCATGATACACTTTCCCTCTAACTTCCTGGATCAAGAGCTCCTCCCCACCATAATACACCTTCCCTCTAACTTCCTGGATCAAGAGCTCCTCCCCACCATAATACACCTTCCCTCTATCTTCCTGGATCAAGAGCTCCTCCCCACCATGAAAACACTTTCCCTCAAAACTTCCTGGATCAAGAGCTCCTCACCACCATAATACACCCTCCCTCTAACTTCCTGGATCAGAGCCCTCCCCCCACCATAATACACTTTCCCTCTAACTCCTGGATCAAGAGCTCCTCCCCACCATAATAAAACCTTCCCCTATCTTCCTGATCAAGAGCTCCTCCCACCATAATACACTTTCCCTCTAACTTCCGGATCAAGAGCTCCTCCCACCAAAAATACACCTTCCCTCTATCTTCCTGGATCAAGAGCTCCTCCCCACCATAATACACCTTCCCTCTAACTTCCTGGATCAAGAGCTCCTCCCCACCATAATACACCTTCCCTCTAACTTCCTGGATCAAGAGCTCCTCCCCACCATGATACACTTTCCCTCTAACTTCCTGGATCAAGAGCTCCTCCCCACCATAATACACCTTCCCTCTAACTTCCTGGATCAAGAGCTCCTCCCCACCATAATACACCTTCCCTCTATCTTCCTGGATAAAGAGCTCCTCCCCACCATGATACATTTTCCCCTCTAACTTTCCTGGATCAAGAGCTCCTCACCACCAAAATTACCCCTTCCCTCTAACTTCCTGGATCAAGAGCTCCTCCCCACCATAATACACCTTCCCTCTATCTTCCTGGATCAAGAGCTCCTCCCCACCATAATACACCTTCCCTCTAACTTCCTGGATCAAGAGCTCCTCCCCACCATGATACACCTTCCCTCTAAACTTCCTTGATCAAGAGCTCCTACCCACCATAATAAAACCTTCCCTCTAACTTCCTGATCAAGAGCTCCTCCCCACCATAATAAACCTCCCTCTATCTTCCTGGATCAAGAGCTCCTCCCCACCATAATACCCCTTTTCCCTCTATCTTCCTGGATCAGAGCTCCTCCCCACCAAATACACCTTCCCTCTAACTTCCTGGATCAAGAGCTCCTCCCCACCATGTTTACCCCTTTCCCCTCTAACTTCCTGATCAAGAGCTCCTCCCCACCATAATACACCTTCCCTCTAACTTCCTGGATCAAGAGCTCCTCCCCACCATAATACACCTTCCCTCTATCTTCCTGGATCAAGAGCTCCCCCCACCAAAATTTACACCTTCCCTCTATTTTCCTGGATCGGGAGCTCCTCCCCACCATAATACACTTTCCCCTCTAACTTCCTGGATCAAGAGCTCCTCCGCACCAATTACACCCTTTCCCCTCTATTTTTCCTGGATCAAGAGCTCCCCCCCCCACCATAATACCCCTTTTCCCTCAACTTCCTGGATCAAGAGCCCCTCCCCACCATGATACACCTTCCCTCTATCTTCCTGGATGAAGAGCTCCTCTCCACCATGATACACCTTCCCTCTATCTTCCTGGATCAAGAGCTCCTCCCCACCATGATACACCTTCCCTCTAACTTCCTGGATAAAAGAGCTCCTCCCCACCATAATACACCCTTTCCCTCTAACTTCCTGGATCAAGAGCTCCTCCCCACTATAATACACCTTCCCTCTAACTTCCTGGATCAAGAGCTCCTCCCCACCATAATACACCTTCCCTCTATCTTCCTGGATCAAGAGCTCCTCCCCACCATAATACACCTTCCCTCTAACTTCCTGGATCAAGAGCTCCTCCCCACCATGACACACCTTCCCTCTATCTTCCTGGATCAAGAGCTCCTCCCCACCATGATACACCTTCCCTCTAACTTCCTGGATCAAGAGCTCCTCCCCACCATGATACACCTTCCCTGAAGGACACACTGTATAATCAAATGTATTATAAATCTGAGAAGCACTAAATCCGTAGGGCTCACACACAACTATAATAATATAGACAAACATCAGCCAAAATACTTACGAGTTAAATATTTTATAAGTTGAAGTTAATTCCAGGATCATGTTAATGTTAATATTGTTATTATTGTTAAACACAAATATATTTTGGTCATAAAATTTCAGGCTCAAATATTTCCATATTTCTTCAATTTTCAATATTATACATTTTTTTTACATTGGTTGTTGGGTTTTATTATTGTTTTAAACAACAACAACAACAACAACAGCTGTATTATAAATGTAGTTCATTCTTTAATATTTTCATTCCAAAATTCCTCGAGATGGTTTAATTTCTCACAAAAAATTCCTCTACAAGGTTAAAAATGTTAATTTTGAGAGTTAAAAACTTAACTATGATTGTTAAGTCCACTTAAACACTTGTTACTGTGTAGTAAACTGAGTGTTAAGTCCACTTAAACACTTGTTACTGTGTAGTACACTGAGTGTTAGTCCACTTAAACACTTGTTACTGTGTAGTACACTGAGTCAATAATACTGTGTAAGTCCACTTAAACACTTGTTACTGTGTAGTACATGAGTCAAAAATTTACTGTTTTTGCCCACTTAAACACTTGTTACTGTGTAGTACACTGAGTCAGTAATACTGTGTTAGTCCACTTAAACACTTGTTACTGTGTAGTACACTGAGTCAATAATACTGTGTAAGTCCACTTAAACACTTGTTACTGTGTAGTACACTGAGTCAGTAATACTGTGTTAGTCCACTTAAACACTTGTTACTGTGTAGTACACTGAGTCAATAATACTGAGTGTTAAGTCCACTTAAACACTTGTTACTGTGTAGTACACTGAGTGTAGAAGAGTGTATAACGTAGTGAAGGAAGCAACATCCTGCCTCTACCGTGACTCAACACCAACTGAGAACATCACTGATGGTTGGTGGGAGAGGCTGCTGCTCCTCGCTACCTGATTGGTCCACCTATTGTGGGGGCTGGTGCTGATTGGTGCACATATTGTGGGGCATGGTGCTGATTGGTGCAGCTATTGTGGGGGCTGGTGCTGATTGGTGCACATATTGTGGGGCATGGTGCTGATTGGTGCAGCTATTGTGGGGCATGGTGCTGATTGGCGCAGCTATTGTGGGGGCTGATGCTGACTGGTGCAGTTATTGTTTACCTGGAGTTTACCTGGAGAGAGTTCCGGGGGTCAACGCCCCCGCGGCCCGGTCTGTGACCAGGCCTCCTGGTGGATCAGAGCCTGATCAACCAGGCTGTTACTGCTGGCTGCACGCAAACCAACGTACGAGCCACAGCCTGGCTGATCAGGAACTGACTTTAGGTGCTTGTCCAGTGCCAGCTTGAAGACTGCCAGGGGTCTGTTGGTAATCCCCCTTATGTATGCTGGGAGGCAGTTGAACAGTCTCGGGCCCCTGACACTTATTGTATGGTCTCTTAACGTGCTAGTGACACCCCTGCATTTCATTGGGGGGATGGTGCATCGTCTGCCAAGTCTTGCTTTCGTAGTGAGTGATTTTCGTGTGCAAGTTCGGTACTAGTCCCTCAAGGATTTTCCAGGTGTATATAATCATGTATCTCTCCCCCCTGCATTCCAGGGAATACAGGTTCAGGAACCTCAAGCGCTCCCAGTAATTGAGGTGTTTTATCTCCGTTATGCGCGCCGTGAAAGTTCTCTGTACATTTTCTAGGTCGGCAATTTCACCTGCCTTGAAAGGTGCTGTTAGAGTGCAGCAATATTCCAGCCTAGATAGAACAAGTGACCTGAAGAGTGTCATCATGGGCTTGGCCTCCCTAGTTTTGAAGGTTCTCATTATCCATCCTGTCATTTTTCTAGCAGATGCGATTGATACAATGTTATGGTCCTTGAAGGTGAGATCCTCCGACATGATCACTCCCAGGTCTTTGACGTTGGTGTTTCGCTCTATTTTGTGGCCAGAATTTGTTTTGTACTCTGATGAAGATTTAATTTCCTCGTGTTTACCATATCTGAGTAATTGAAATTTCTCATCGTTGAACTTCATATTGTTTTCTGCAGCCCACTGAAAGATTTGGTTGATGTCCGCCTGGAGCGTTGCAGTGTCTGCAATGGAAGACACTGTCATGCAGATTCGGGTGTCATCTGCAAAGGAAGACACGGTGCTGTGGCTGACATCCTTGTCTATGTCGGATATGAGGATGAGGAACAAGATGGGAGTAGTACTGTGCCTTGTGGAACAGAGCTTTTCACGTAGCTGCCTCGGACTTTACTCTGTTGACGACTACTCTCTGTGTTCTGTTAGTGAGGGAAATTATAGATCCATCGACCGACTTTTCCTGTTATTCCTTTAGCACCCATTTTGTGCGCATTACGCCATGGTCACACTTGTCGAAGGCTTTTGCAAAGTCTGTATATATTACATCTGCATTCTTTTTGTCTTCTAGTGCATCTAGGACCTTGTCGTAGTGATCCAATAGTTGAGACAGACAGGAGCGACATGTTCTAAACCCATGTTGCCCTGGGTTGTGTAACTGATGGGTTTCTAGATGTGTGGTGATCTTGCTTCTTAGGACCCTTTCAAAGATTTTTATGATATGGGATGTTAGTGCTATTGGTCTGTAGTTCTTTGTTGTTGCTTTACTGCCCCCTTTGTGGAGTTTGTGGGGCATGGTGCTGATTGGTGGACATAATGTGGGGCATGGTGTGATCAGTGGATAATATATATTATATATATATATATATATATATAATATATATATATATATATATATATATTTATATATATATTTATTATCAACTAGCCGATTCCCACCAAGGCAGGGTGGCCGAAAAAGAAAAAACTTTCACCATCATTCACTCCATCACTGTTTGCCAGAAGGGTGCTTTACACTACAGTTTTTTTAAAATGCAACATTAACACCCCTCCTTCAGAGTGCAGGCACTGTACTTCCCATCTCCAGGACTCAAGTCCGGCCTGCCGGTTTCCCTGAACCCCTTCATAAATGTTACTTTGCTCACACCTCCAACAGCACGTCAAGTATTAAAAACCATTGTCTCCATTCACTCCTATCAAACACGCTCACGCTGCCTGCTGGAAGTCCAAGCCCCTCGCACACAAAGCCTCCTTTACCCCCTCCCTCCATCCTTTCCTAGGCGACCCTACCCCGCCTTCCTTCCACTACAGACTGATACACTCTTGAAGTCATTCTGTTTCGCTCCATTCTCTCTACATGTCGAACCACCTCAACAACCCTCCCTCAGCCCTCTGGACAACAGTTTTGGTAATCCCGCACCTCCTCCTAACTTCCAAACTACGAATTCTCTGCATTATATTCACACCACACATTGCCCTCAGACATGACATCTCCACTGCCTCCAGCCTTCTCCTCGCTGCAACATTCATCACCCACACTTCACACCCATATAAGAGCATTGGTAAAACTATACTCTCATACATTCCCCTCTTTGCCTCCAAGGACAAAGTTCTTTGTCTCCACAGACTCCTAAGTGCACCACTCACCCTTTTCCCCTCATCAATTCTATGCTTCACCTCATCTTTCATAGACCCATCCGCTGACACGTCCACTCCGAAATATATGAATACATTCACCTCCTCCATACCCTCTCCCTCCAATCTGATATCCAATCTTTCATCACCTAATCTTTTTGTTATCCTCATAACCTTACTCTTTCCTGTATTCACCTTTAATTTTCTTCTTTTGCACACCCTACCAAATTCATCCACCAATCTCTGCAACTTCTCTTCAGAATCTCCCAAGAGCACAGTGTCATCAGCAAAGAGCAGCTGTGACAACTCCCACTTTGTGTGTGATTCTTTATCTTTTAACTCCACGCCTCTTGCCAAGACCCTCGCATTTACTTCTCTTACAACCCCATCTATAAATATATTAAACAACCACGGGGGACATCACACATCCTTGTCTAAGGCCTACTTTTACTGGGAAATAATTTCCTCGTTCCTACATACTCTAACTTGAGCCTCACTATCCTCGTAAAAACTCTTCACTGCTTTCAGTAACCTACCTCCTACACCATACATCTGCAACATCTGCCATATTGCATCCCTATCCACCCTGTCATACGCCTTTTCCAAATCCATAAATGCCACAAAGACCTCTTTAGCCTTATTTTAAATACTGTTCACTTATATGCTTCACTGTAAACACCTGGTCCACACCCCCTACCTTTCCTAAAGCCTCCTTGTTCATCTGCTATCCTATTCTCCGTCTTACTCTTAAATTTTTTCAATAATAACTTTTACCATACACTTTGCCAGGTATACTCAACAGACTTATCCCCCGATAATTTTTGCACTCTCTTTTGTCCCCTTTGCCTTTATACAAAGGAACTATGCATGCTCTCTGCCAATCCCTCTTCCATACATTTATTAAATAATTGCACCAACCACTCCAAAACTATATCCCACCTGCTTTTAACATTTCTATCTTTATCCCATCAATCCCGGGTGCCTTACCCCCCTTTCATTTTACCTACTGCCTCACGAACTTCCCCACACTCACAACTGGCTCTTCCTCACTCCTACAAGATGTTATTCCTCCTTGTCCTATACACGAAATCACAGCTTCCTTATCTTCATCAACATTTAACAATTCCTCAAAATATTCCCTCCATATATATATATATATATATATATATTATATATATATATATATATATATATATATATATATATATTATATATATTATATACAGAAGTGTGCCTATTTAAAAAAGACAGGGCAATGTTATGACAAATAATTGGTTTAATAATAGATAATACTATCCTTTAATTTTATAAGCATTGCTACACGCTGCGGCACAGAATCAATCAATGTTGAACACACCCAGTAGCGGCCAGTGAAGAGGCGAGGCCAGGAGCTGTGACTCGACCCCTGCAACCACAACTAGGTGAGTATATATTGGTAAGTTCTTCGTCGTGGTAGCAGGTCCTAATAACATCAGCAGTTAGCTTTCCACAGTTGAACAGTCGTGCTTTGCGATCCTGCGTTTGTTTACCCAGAGATTCTCAGTCAGGTTAAGGTCAGGAGGGTTTCCACGCCAATTTAGAACGCTTAGCCCACTCTTTTTAAATAATGTCAGCATTTTTCTGGAAGTGTGGGGTGCCTGGAGTGGGTTTCGGGGGTCAACGCCCCTGCGGTCTGGTCTGTGACCAGGCCTCGTGGCGGATCAGGGTCTGATCAACCAGGCAGTTACTGCTGGCCGCACACAAATTGACGTACGAACCACACCGCGGCTGGTCAGGTACTAACTTTAGGTGTTTATCCAGCGTCTTCTTGAAGACAGTCAGGGGTCTATTGGTAATCCCCCTTATGTATGCTGGGAGGCAGTTGAACAATCTTGGGCCCCTGACACTTATTGTGTTGTCTCTTATCGTGATAGTGACACCCCTGTTTTTCATTGGGGGGATGATGTTGCATCGTCTGCCGAGTCTTTTGCTTTCACAGGGAGTGATTTTCGTGAGCAAGTTTGGTACTAATTCCTCTAGGATTTTCCAGCTGTATATTATCATGTATCTCTCT